GCTCTGTCTTTGGGAAAGGTTGCCAGAGAACATGCGGGATGCTCGGTTAAATCTGAATTTTAGATCAATGAATAATTTTTAAAAAGTGTATGTATCCCTAATATTGCATGGTACATACAAACACTAACAAATTATTCATTGATCTGAAATTCAGATTTGACTGGGCATCCTGTATTCTTATTTGCTAAATCTGACAACCCCAGTCTTTGGCCTTCAGAGGACAGCTCACATCTTATAGGACCACGGCTTTATTCAGTTAGAAGAAACAATAGAGGTCAGAGGCTGCCCTCGAAGGAAGGGGACTTAAGACCAATGACACAGGTGGATTCTTCTAGTGTCTCAGCTTCCACCTTCTTGCTTGTCTTGATTCAAACTTTTCCCTTTGTCATATTGTCTTCTGTCCATAGTGTGTGTGGTTTTTTTTTAAACAATGACCATGAACTCATTTTATTTTTAGCCACAATGCTAAAATAATCACTTGAATTCCTCCGACAGTTTTTGGCTCGTGAGCCCTGGTTACTCATGACGGGGGCAGTGTTGAGCTCTGATTGGATGGGTTCCCATGGGATCCGGCTGCTTGGACCATGGACTGGGAATGCTGAGAGAGCAGGTTGCGGATTCCGGTTTTTAGTCTGCACAGTGTATATTATATAAAACATGGACTCGGGAGTCAGCCTACCTAGATCCAAATCCTCACTTCGCACTTACTGGCTGTGCAAGCAGGGGCAAGTTACTAAACTCTGTATCACAGTGTCCTCATTTGCAAGGTGGGGATAACAGTCATGTCTGCCACACTGAGTTGCTGGAAAGTTAAATGAGCTAATGCAGGTAAGGAGCTAAAGTAGTTCTTGCCTTGTAGCTCAGTAATTATGAGCTCGTCTTATTTGTTTCTGGTGAAAAGGTGAGACTGTTGCATTGATTTCAGAGAGGAAATATGCCTAAGCACATCTTACCCTAAGAACGGTGATTCTCCACTGGGGGAGATTTTGCTTCCCAGGGGACATTTGGCTATGTCTGGAGACATTTTTCATTTTGCAAGGTGAGGTGGCTGAATCAGGACCTGATCTTTTGTGTTCAGGCCAACTCTCTTCTCTATGAGCTCTAACTCGAGTGCTAGGCTTGACTTACCATGCTAGACTCTCCTTTGCTCTTTATGGTATGTTTCCATTTTGGGTCTGTAGCTGTCTGTCTCTTTCATCTGGCTGTAGTTGACTGTCCTTCCACTGGCATATGTCTAAACATGATGGCTGATTATGGTTCCATGGTTTTATAGGAAGGATTCCAGGCTCTGTACAAATTAGCTGATGC